TATATAGATATCCGTAATATAAACCATATGTTTATAAACGTTTAATATTGACCTCAAAGCATTATGGTTTGCTCCTAAATTAACTCCTACTTGCCAGAAGAATCTTTACCTTGGTCAACTGCTACCCCATCTAGGCATAGTGTACTTTCCTGTCTGTAAGAGAAAGTATTGCTACTGAAATCTGCGGTACTATATATAAATATCAGATGGACACTGTGGGGACAGCCAAAAAAAATTGGCAACATGGGAACATTAGGATTTTCATATTTCGACTGAAGATGAATATGTTCTTAAACATTATATTTGCAACTTAAAGTGATGTTAAACCTAAACTTTTCTTTTCATTTTATAATTAAGTAATTAGCAGTGCCAGAGGTACTTAAATTTCCTTTTTTTTATCTTTACACTTTTGGATCCCCCTGTTTTTTAGTTGTCCCCGAACCGCTAACCCCCCACCATCACCGTGTGTGGTTATCTCCATCAGCTAGCCAGCTGCCGAGGAGACACCCGTGCGTGCTCGCTCCCGACTGTTCCCGTACCTAGCTGTGTGCGTCCACATACACACACACACATTCCCTGCTCTCACAGTCACAGTTTGACTTACGGCGGAAGGAGACTATGGTTCCTCTGCCCTCAGTACCCTCCCCCAGGTCCAGGAAGTTCAATGATGTTGAGTATAAGGAAAATAAAAACGCCATGCCTTTAGTACTACTTTAACCTCAACCTTTGATTTATCCATGCAGTAGTTTCACTTAAATGTCGACCCTTACAGCAGTTTTATATGTCACTCTCCTACTTTGCCCATTCGAATAAGAAGTCTTTTGTAAGCTCAGAGTTATGACTTGGAACTTTGACAGGGCTGAGGACTTTCTCCTTGCATCCACACTGAGTGCCTGAGCAGCCAATGGGCCAAGCACAAGCACTGCTGATTCAGCTGCCTCAGCTGGCAAAAATACCCAGTACTTGCAGGTATGGAGGAACATGTGACCTTCTCCCATGTGACAGTGCTCGAGTTTAGAAGTTAAATGCTAGATCTGAGCACCGTCTCATGGCTGTGGGATTGATGTCACCACTATCCCTAGCATCCGACACAAGCTGACACTTTCATGGAGGAATCCCCGCTGATATGTGCTGAACGTCCTTTTATTGAGACGCTAGGCAATCATAGTGACACAGTGCAACAAGCAACGTTTCAGAACCGAACATGATCCCTTCATCAGGCAAACACAGTGACCCGTGGATCGATTATTGCATGTGTTCCTTTGTTTCCAGTCCCATTGACCAGTGTAATTGTTCTCTTTTCAGAATGGTGTGCGGCAATACTCCTATTTATATGACCTGTCAAGGTCAGAGAAGGAAAAGCTGAGGGATCTAGCAGTTACAATGTGTTTAGATGGACAGCCTGTAGACACCATTCAGAAGTTACTGGAGGTAGCTGTGGGAGATTCTGACCTCAGTCCAAAGGACATTGTTCAGTGTTCAACGCAGAGAATCATTGCTGTGCTCAGGTAATCTTTCTCTCCCTTTCATTTATTTATTTGGTGGGCACTTACTGTATATTTGTGATGTATTTTGTAGTTTATAAAACACTAATTTACAACAGATAGTCCATAGTTTACAGTGTAACGTTTACTCTCAGGTCTTGTTCACACTGTTATATTTGCATTAACACGCATTGTTTTAAAGCTCATCGCCAGGAAGAAATGGGGGGAAAAAACCCTCCCACCCCAACCATAACCACATTTTTATTTAACAACCCCAATTACTTCTCTCAAACTTTGGTCATGTGGCACAATGAGTCCCAGGTTTTCTGCTCTAAAGCATGGGAGGCCTGGCTTTAAGGCAGCCCATTTATTTTGCATGGGCTCTCATGGGCCTCAATGCAAGAAAAGTTGCACCTGCAATTTTTTGGCAATGCAGTGCAGAGATCATTCTCATCTTTGCTTTGTGGTGAGCTATAGAACACTGTGTATGTGCACTGAGGTGCAATTAGGAATGTATGGCCATGCACTGTAATGCACATAATAAAAACATTACTGGGTGTACCAGCAGTAGACCACATTCATGTTATAGAATGGCCTATGGTGTGAACAAGCCCTTATGTCATTGGCTCAACCTTACAGGCACACTCACTCCTATTTGAACTTGAACCTATATTCAAATTATGTTTTTGATCCGTGAATAAAAACTGAATGAAATTCCCACAAACATGGGCAGTTGTCTATGGCACTTGGATACTGGGGGAATTTGAATACTGGACCTCAATAATGCTGTGGTCTAGGCAGTTCTAGTGAATCCCCTGTTCTTGTCTTCAGATTGGTTTCTTTGTGCCCTGGGGGAGGACCCTGAATCCTAAACCCATGCTAAGTGCAGGTCTATGCCATCTCCCTCTATGCACTTAGCCCTAGCTCCATCAATCAAGTGCCCAGCCATGTGCAACCCTCTAGCTTTATCAACATCTGTGTTTTATGAGGACCTGTGCCCAAACAATCAATGTAGTTTATATGCAATCATTAGTGCCCTTGCACTACTTAATTCTTGGTATATCTAAAGCAGATTGCACAATATTATTGTTACATGTTAGTTCTTTGGTACCCCAAATTCTTCATAGGCGACGCTTTAAAAGCCTTTACAGGTCATCAGTTTAGAGTTAACTGTGAACAATGGCCCTAAAATTATTGTTTTCACTCTAGCATGTAAGGTAATTCCCAACAAGTATGGCGCAGTCATTCTTTAAAAAAACAAACATATTTCAGTTAAGTGTACATATTGACTGATTCATGTATCAATTATGCATTATTTAGGTGTGTTTTCTGTAAGTTAAAGGATATATAAATGCAATTCCAGAAATGTAATATATTGTAGATTACCAGTCCTTATACAGTATGTTGTGGCTGCATTAGTTTTTATTTTCCAGACTTTGCAGCGAGTATAGAAATTACTTGTTGACCTTGCCAGAACTGCCATTTCCAAGTCACTTTCTCTGCGCTGCACTAAAAGCAGAAACAATGTTATCTTCTTTCTGTAAGCTACTTAAAACCAACATCCCCCTGGTAATGGAGATGAAGAGAGGAAGGCTTTTTAAGTCCTGCCTATTTACAGCCATGGCTCCTCCTCTGACAGAGTGGAGTAGTGAATCCTAGAACAGGAAGTGTGTTATTTACAGGATCACCAGGTGAAAATGAAGGGGGAAACAAAGAAAACTAATGCAGCCACCACATCTAAGAACTGGCCAAATGCAGTGCATTAAACGTTTGTTTTTTTGAGTATAGATACCGGGGGTATCCTGGGCTCTGCTACCACTGCCTGCAGACCAGGATGGCCATGGTGGGTACTGGCTTGGAAAGCGGAGGGAGGTCAGCGAACATCAGTAAACTGATCTCCCCTCCGGTTCATGAACCCAGAAGCAATGGTGATTTTGTCACTTCTGGCTTCTGAGCTGTTATTCCCAGCCACTGTAGCTGATAGAGAAGTTGATATGCATGATGTGTTCTTGATCAGCTTCACTGTGATTGATAGGTGACATTAGGGGTCTAATTGCCCCCAATGTCTCCTTATTAGGGGTCTAATTGCCCCCCAATGTCTCCTTATAGAGGACCTGTCACCAGCAAAATGCTATCACATGGGCGTATATCAACCCCCTATGTTATAGCAATAAAGTTAAGTGTAAAAAGAAAACGTTGAAATGGTTAAATTAAATAACTAAAAAAACTGGTAAGTACGCATACACACATACAGACGTTAACTCTTGTTAGGCGCGCCTACATATGGAAGCGTCGAATGCGCCATACTTGTTGGGAATTACCTTACATGCTAGAGTGAAAACAATAATTTTAGGGCCATTGTTCACAGTTAACTCTAAACTGATGACCTGTAAAGGCTTTTAAAGTGTCGCCTATGAAGAATTTGGGGTACCAACGTTTTTTACCATTCCACGGTTGCACAGAAATTTGATGCTTGACATGTTTGGTATCTATTTACCTGACAGAACCTCGTCTTCGATATTTTCCTGAAAAAAATAGTATTATATTGTGCTTGTGTGCACTAAAATTTATTTAAATGCATTTTTTACTGAAAATTTGGGTTTGATAAACTATTGCCCTAATATCGTGTGACATAAAAATTGCAACTGAGACCATTTTATTCTACAGGGACTCTGCTTCCAGAAAATATATAATTTTAGGGGGCTTTAAATATTTTTTGGGCCTGAAATGTGAATTTTAACAAAAAAATGTGCAAAAATAAAATGCAAAAATGTCTCTTGCAGTGAACAACGCCGGTAGCTTGTACTGTGCTTTCTTCTCACAGTGGTGGTTCATTACCATTAGAGTGGCCCCTAGGAATACACAGTAAGGGGGCATAATACCTTAGCAGCACAATAGCAGGCTGGTGCTTTGTGAAACCGATCCCTATTGCCACCTTACATGTATCTGCATTATATTGCATGTATCAAGTGAACAACATGTGGCAATGCAAGTGCCGCATTCATTTTCAGCACCGTGAATTAACCTTCTGCGGTCTTGGCCGGTGTCATGACTCCATGTGGCTTTTTACAGTTGTGTTTACTTGCAGGGCTTTCCAGGACACAGTAGATTATTACAATACAAGCCTCCTGTGTTCTGCAATATGGAAGGACTGACCTAATTAGCCCCTTCAGTGCTGGAGGGAAAAAGATTAATCACCTTTAGGCCTCTTCAGCACTGAAGAGTTTAGAAGATGGATAACTGTCACCAGTGAAGGAAAGAATCTACGCCAGTGTAAAAAAAAAAAAGAAAATATTCAAACTGACTGAGCATGACGTGCATTATAAAGAGGGCCAAAAATTGCTTTAGAAACTCGAGTGTACCAAATAACAGAACAACACTCCCACTCGAAATAAATTATTATGAAAACTAATTACAGCAAAGAATCAATCGCCCGACACAGCACCAAGCTAATGAACGCTGATATTGTGCAACTTTTTGCCTTTTTAAAGTTTTTTTTAGTGCAAAAGCAAATAAAAAACAAACAGTCCATCTGTGTGATTCATTCATATCGCTGGAAGTACAGAATATCTGTTGATCTGCTTCTGACTTCCTGTATGCACTACATACACCCAGACAGTCTGGGTTTTGGGTCCTGTATGTGCTGTGTCCATATTTCAGGCCAGCTGAAATCCGGACACAAGATATCACGATCTAAGGGGTAAACACGGAGTCCTGGTGTTCCTGCCAGTATGCAGCTACGCTTTGTGCTCAGTATGGGTGTAGACCTCCGCTATGCCTGGGCTCTGATGTTTTATATCTTTATCTCTCTCCATCATACACATACACTACAATCTACCACATGTGCAATGCTGAATTTATACACTCAGAGCCAGGATTGTGGGGGTTGCAGGAGGAACCAATGTGAGTTGTTTTTTTTATTTTGCCCTTAATGTCTCTCATGCCAAAAAAAACATGGATCTCAGCAGACCCAGTTCTGCAGTGTATGGCTCTGAATCAGGGACACAAGATGTCACTACTTGCTATCTCTCTTCACTCTCTTAGCTATATGTCCTCCTCTCTCTCTCTCTCTCTCTCCTGGCTGTCTCTCCTCTCTCTCCCCTGCCTGTCTCTCCTCGTTCTCTCTTCTGGCTGTCTCCCCTCTCTCCCCCCTGGCTGTCTCTCCTCGCGCTCATGACTATCTCTCCTTACTTTCTCTCTCCTGGCTGTCTCTCTTTACTCTCTCTCCTGGCTGTTCTCGCTCCCTCCTCCTCACTCTTTCTCCTGGCTGTCTCTCCTTGCTCTGTGCCCTGGCTGTCTCTCCTCACTCTCTCTCCTGGCTGCATCTACTTGCTCTCTCCTGGCTGCCTCTCATCACTCTCTCTCTCTCTCTCTCTCTCTCTCTCTCCAGGCTGTGTCTCCTGGCTGTCTCTCCTCACTCTTTCCTGTATATTCTCAAAATACAAATTGTTGTGCATGAGTGCTTGTGTTGTGCTTGAAGAAACGATGGCGACCCTCGTATGCGCAGACAACACAGTCAACCATTGCTGCTTTGGCATTCCACCCAGAGTGTCATCCCTGCCTGCTGGACTACAGAACTCCTACTATCCCTCTCAGTCTAACTCCATCTGCATACATTGACTTCTTCCCCAGTAAAATAGGGCTGCTGTCTTGACTCCAGATAACCTCCCCACCCACTATATTGGGAAAGGACTCTTGGGAGATGTAGTTCTGGGAATGTACTAATGTTAAAGTGACACTAAACTCAGGAGTTAAATCTTAAAAATACATTCAAGTACTTTAACTAGGGATGTACAGACACTTTTAGAGTACCAGTGCAGATACTTCGCATTTTCATGAGAACTACCAGGGTTGCAGCGGTTGCAGCTGGGGCCTGGCTGTGGCGCTCCACCACTGTCCTGAAATCATTAGTCTGTATTGCTTTAGAAAAATTGTCACATGACAATAAACAAAAATGTATCGTTACTCGTACTTTTAAGTACTCGCAAGTACCAGTACTCGTACTCGCAAAACTGGTATCGGTGCATCCCTTTATTTATAAAAACAAAATCATACATTAAAACAAAGATGTACAAATCCCAGGAGCTCCGTGTGCTCCTTACAAATGACAGCTGCCTGCTAATTTTTGAATTTTTCTCTAGTCTAGTCTTGGAGCTCAAAAGTATCGGTACACGTACTCGTACTTGTACCGAGTACTGTACTTGGTATCTGTGCAACCCTAACCTTAACTATTAATAGGAGTGTATCACTTGGCTGAAGATCCTCAAATCATTTCTAAATTGTTTCTGACACTGTCCTTCCTTCTGGGGGGTGACTACTTTTGTTCTCCATGGTCCCTGTGTGTGTTGCAAAGTAGCCACCAATCCAAGCTCATTCCCGTGTCGATCTGTTCCCTATTGCTGATTTTCTGCGTTTGGTTTTGCACTATATGTAGAGGTGGTCATCTTGGTAGAGGAACATGACTTTGCTTCTTCACGGTAGGAGGAGAAGAGGTGTAGATAGCACTGATCCACACAATGTATCCTTACACAGCAGGTCCTCAGGTATAGATTTATCTCCAGCAAGGAGAACACTGAGCAGCATAGTAGTGACCTCACCAAATCTCATTATGTATCCCCTGAGACTGGCAGTCAGAGGCACACTGTAGTACAGCTCTGAGGCTGCAGACGGGAGTGTGCCACCCCAATGGGGCATAGAATATGTTGTAGAAGTTAGTATAGATAGAAGTTTTACATAGTGTGTTTGCCTATATATTTTCTCATAGTTAAATCCATGTGTTATCCTATGCTGCCATCTAGTGGCCTTTTGTTGCAATGTACATGTTTTTCTGTAATTATTCCTCATGTGACGATGTATTTCCCCCTACTGTACGCCCCTTCCTGCTTCCTGTGTGCAGTACTTCCTGTGTCATGGCCACAGCTACTAGCCACATGTAACAAGGACACACATGTAATCTGCACAGTACGTAGGAAAGGCATCATTTTCTGACCGCACAATACTATCACCATTCATCTGCTGTTCCTGTTATCTGCTGTAACCCCTGATGTTAAAGAATAAACACCTCTTTTGAATGAATCGGTATTGACGAGTTCAGCTATCTGACGAGGATTGTCCGCAGTGAGTATATCTGCTTATACAGGCCAGGCATAGAGGTCTCAGCAAGGGATATATTTCGCTATCACAACGATCGGAGTCAGAATAGGGAGTGTTCAGGTAAAGTAAGTGCACAGCTAATTGTTTTAGAAGAAATTCAAGACAAAAGTAATTATTTCAGGGTGATTCGTAGGCACAACTAACATTTCGAGATGTTCCAAGTGAGATAGCAAATCTTCCCTTCTTTTATTTCAGGTCCACTTCAACTTTTCTCAGCTAGAAAAATAATTACTTAAATTGACCTTTATCAGATCCACCTACTTTACAAAACTGATTAATTCTGATTAACAGCGCAAGATTCTAAAACAAAATGGATATGCAGCCGCCTTAATCCTTGTAAGCACATTTGGCAGGAATGGGCTGATGAGTGCAGATACGGTGACCCCATGGGCAGTGCAAGATTTCCATTTATCTCCGTACATGAGCACTAAACTTTTCTTTCTTTAATTGCTGCTAAATAAAATGTTACTGAGCATAGCTCACTTCTTTCATTACATTATCTGCATGACATCATTAATTTGTTATCTGCTCAGATAGGCACGTAAGAAAAAAATAAATTTTGTATTGGTTTACAGGTGTACACAAATGGAAAATGTACCTGCCAGGGAGTAGCAGGGAAACGGCATTGAAAGTGCCTTGTGCCGTCTTTCTCTTTTCTGTTTTCTTGTTTGTGTTTTTCACCTTCCAGCATTGTTTTGTCATTGCAGATAGCTGTTGTTCTCCATATTGTTTTCTGTTCTCAGGGCAGTCCCTATAATGAGCTGCTGCCTCAGGTGGCATCTTGGGGGGGGGGGGCAATGTTTGCAGTATGCCTGCCATCCCCTTTCCAGCTAGATTGTCCCAGTTTGCTAAGAGCCATCCACATTTCTCTGCCCAGCTCTTAGCAACCTTGGTTGCTCTACCTGGCATCCTTCCCAGCTCCTGGCAACCATATCACTTATTGGCAGGAGCTCAGTGGCATGCCGGGCACAGTGTCCAGCTGAGCTCCTGCAGCCAGTGATGTCACTGATTGGCAGGAGCTTGGCGGGAAGCCTTTTTTTTATGTCCCATATTTAAACATTTTCATTTGATGTGTACATTTTTGACATGACATGTCTTGTTTTTGTTTAATATATTAAACATTAACATATTTTGTTTAATTTATTAATTTTTTGCATTTCATATTTTTACATTTTTCATTTCATTTAAAAAAAAATTTGCACTCCATATTTTTTGTTTTTTCATTTGATTTATACATTTTTTTACACTCCATATTTTCTTGTTTCTTAATTTGATTTATACATTTTTTTCATTCCAAATTTGACTTTTCACAGACATTTTATGACCAGATTTGCAATTGCTTCCTCTACTGGTCATCATTATATCTGAAAATTAGTGAATCACTTTGCAAAATCAGCTTGGCACACATGGACGATTTTTGTATCACGTTACTAAAATTGCATGCCATTATTAATAGTTTGTGTTGAGCAATCAAACCCTACACATGGGGAAAAAGTGGCTATACTAGCAATTAATCACTAATTATCGCACAATGCTATACATTTGCACTTGCTTTTAAATGCAACACTACGTAGATGGCTAATTTTGGGCAATTTTAGTAGTGTGGTGGCACTACAAAAATCACCATTGTGTGGCCAGCAATAAGCACAGTCTTTGGTTTCCAGTAAGTACAGACCTAATCTGTAGATTTGCACTAAAGGAGAGGAATAAAGCACAGCCGTTGTGCAGCTCTGCTAAGCAGAAAGCAGAGTCTGCATATGTAACAAACAAATATATTTGCCCCCATATAAACAGTTCCAGGCACTGTAGCCAGTCTTTACTGGCTGGGGATCAGGTAAATAAAAGACCTTTAGAAAGGTTCCCAGACATTAGGAAGCCGTTAACCCTTACAGGGTAACCCTTGTAATTAGTGAAGTATTCCTAGAAAATTGCACAAATTAAAAATGAATCCATTACAGTAGACGTTGCATACATTGAACTTGAAGAATGTTAATGATAGTGTCACATTTAAAGATTGGGGCAGCTATAAAAGGCACAAATGAATGCAGCTTTGTATTCACTATCACCTTCCCGTCGGCCATACACATATATGTGGCAGCACAGCCCGGGGACTTTAACACGGGCCTGGTGCAGCTGAGATAACGATGCTCAGAGCTCCCAGCACAATGACTGACCTTTCACCACGTATGATCAGGAGATGGTAGGACTAGCTTTCCATCATGCGTTGGTGTCCCCCCTTAAAATTCCTACCAGACCTAAAGGGTTTGGTATGAATTGCTGGGGAACTGCACGCTTTTTGTTTACCCCATTATTATTACATCGGGTTCCCCCTTAAATTCCTACCAGATCTAAAGGGTCTGGTATGAATTGGGGGGGGGGGGC